CACACACACACACACACATGCATTTACAGATAAGCATTCATAACACACATTCTCATATACACACTTTCACATGCACACACACACACACACACACACACACACACACACACACACACAGACTTGCAATCACACATGCACATTCGCACACACACACACACACACACACACACACACACACGCATTTACAGATAAGCATTCATACACACATTCTCATATACACACTTTCACATGCACACACACACACACACACACACACACACACACACACACACACAATCTCTCTCTCTCTTACTACTTAACACATATAGACACACACACTCACTTTCATATACACCCTATCTCTCTTTCTCTCTCTCTTACACACACACAGTGTCTCTCCCTCTGAAATAGTAATAGCAGGCTGCACGGTGGCGTAGTGGGTAGCACTACAGCAAGAAGGTCTCTGGTTTGAGTCTCGGCTGGGTCAGTTGGTGTTTCTGTGTGGAGTTTGCATGTTCTCCCCGTGTTGGTGTGGGTTTCCTCCGGGTGCTCCGGTTTTCCCCCACAGTCCAAACACATGCGCTATAGGGGAACTGATCAACTACACTGGCCGTAGTGTGTTTGTGTGTGAATGAGTGTGTATGGGTGTTTCCCAGTATTAGGTTGCAGCTGGAAGGGCATCCACTGTGTATAATGTATGCTGGAATAGTTGACGGTTCATTCCATTGTGGCGACCCCTGATAAATAAAGGGACCAAGCCAAAAAAAATATGATGAATGAAAGAGATAACACTGCTGTTAATAAGTTAAAACCAAACACACTGTCTGATCTAAGAACTGTGAACACACACACACACATTGGTATTGGTGGTTTATGAGAACTCTCCATAGGAATAATGTATATTACACTGTAAAAGACGATTATTTGCCACACACACATTCACACAATCACTCACACACACTCACTCTCTCTCACACACACACTTTTACCGCAATCTTTCTAGGCTCTCCATAGCTGTAATGATGTGTTTACGGCACAAACTGTATATACTTTCACTCATTCATTCATTCTCTTTCAGCTTAGTCCCTTATTCATCCGGGGTTGCCACAACAGAATAAACCACCAATTATTCCAGCACAAGTTTTACACAGCGGATACCCTTCCATCTGCTACCCAGAACTGGAAAACACACTCATACACTACGGCCAGTAGGAGAACATGCAAACTCCACACAGAAACGCCAACTGACCAAGCCGAGGCTCAAACCAGCGACCTTCTTGTTGTGAGGCAATCGTACTACCCACTGAGCCACCATGTCACCCAACTCCCAACTGTATATACTATACAAAAAACTCAGAAGGACTGGTATTGCTATACTTGTGGGGACATTTGTTGACCACAATGCAAGTAATACTAAGTATACACACACAGTAACACACTGCAGAATAAGCTCTCAGAGATGGAAATAATGTCATCTTTAACTCATTTGACACGTTACTTGTTCAAGTCCACCTTTACAGTGACAAACAGGGAATCAATGATGCAGACTTCATCAAATCTGAAGCAAAACCAAATTCAATACACGAAAAACACCACTCATTTTCTTCATAGGGACATTGATTTTTGACAATAGCCTTTAAAGGAGAGATAGTGTATGGTGTGAATATGCTTTTCTTTCTATCAGCTGGTCTGAACACACAGCCAACATAACCTTCAGATGATGAGGATGGTCAGAATCCAGCATTCGACTTCACAAATGACTACTGATCAGCGAAAGCCATCAAACTAACACACGTAACCCTTCGAGTCCTGCGCTGCGCTCATTATCCAGCACATAAGTGTAATTATTTCCACATTCATTAGTGCTGTGATGTTAGTGCTCTCCATACTGTAAGTAAATGGGTCATTACGCATCTCTCTCTTTCCCTCCAGTCACGTCATATGATCATGAATCCGCAGTGAAGTGGCCTGATTTCTGACACACACTCGGACCTACAGTACAGTACAGTACAGAACTCAGCTCTGGTCTTCACTGAGCGATTGAAACATTCACACACATAATATAGTCATTTACAGTAAATACTACACTTGTTTACCATACTGTAGTAAAGTGCTTGAACAAATCTGTTGTGGTGATTCCAATGTTACTATGGTAACACAACAACTATAGTAACTAATGTTATGGTGATTCTACGGTTGCTATGGTAGTGTAACGATTATGGTAAATAACCTGTTGTAGTGATTTTACAGCTGCTATGGTAACACAACAACTATAGTAACTGATCTGTTGTGGTGATTCTACAGTTGCTTTGGTAGCGTAACAATTATGGTAAATAACCTGTAGTGGTGATTCTAGAGTTGCTATGGTAACACAACAATTATAGTATTTAATCTGTTGTGGTGATACTACAGTTCCTATGGTAACACAACAACTATAGTAATTGAACTGTTGTGGTGACTATAATTGCGTAACAACTGTTGCAGTTGAGTTTTTGTGATATTTCTATAGTTTCTATGGTAACACACCAACTGTAGCAATTAATCAGTTATGGTGATCTTATAGTTGCTATAGTAACACAACAACTATGGTAATCGATAACAGTTTGCTGATTCTATAGCTGATTCTATAGTTCCTATGGTAACACACCAACTAGCAACTAATCTGTTGTGGTGATTCTATAGTTGCTATGGTTAAACAACAACTGTATAATCAGTTATGGTGATTCGATGGTTGCTATGGTAACACAATAACTAGCAATCGGTCTGCTGTGGTGGTTTTACAGTTGCTATGGTAACTCAACAATGGTAACAATTGATCAGTCGTGGTAATTCTATAGTTGTATGTTGGTAACACAACAACTGTAGCAGTTCATCTATTGTGGTGATTCCACAGTTGCTATGGTAACACAACTGTAGCAATTCATCCATTGTGATTCTATAGTTGCTATGGTAACAAACAACTAGCAATTGATCTGTTGTGGTGATTCTATAGTTGCTATGGTTACTCATCATCTATGTTAACTGATCTGTTGTGCTGATCCTATAGTTGCTAGGGTAACTCAACAACAGTAACAATTGATCAATTGTGGTAATTCTATAGTTGCTATGGACACAACAACTATAGTGGTATAATCGAATGACCCAATACAGTATTTCCTACAACTATAGAGTACATTATACAACAAAACACAACAGTTTACTGCAGTAAAATCTTAAGTATAGTACAGTATTAATTACAGTTTATCTGTTCGCTATAGATAATTCTACAATATGTTGTAGCATTATTCATCATAGTGTTGTAAATATTATAGTATAAACAGTATGTTATGCAGTTTACTATATACTATAGTATAAACGATGAATAACTCTAGTATCTTTTTTCATGTGAGGCTGTGCTCCAGCACAATCCAAGCAGTATCATCTCCACAGATTTACATAATCCTGGCTAATTAAGCAATTAAACAGCAGATGATTTAATTGGCAGTTTTTGTTCCAGCGTTGTGTGTTTCAGCAGATCTCTGGTGTTGGGATGGGATTTGAAATGTAATCCGCCTCATGAGGAGAAAATGCATTGAGTAAAATGTGACAGTCGGACTTTCATTTTAGTTTATGAATAAGAGATCAGCTAAATTCACAATCAGCATTTTGAAGACAGAATGTAGAGCTGGGTGAGTTACTTAAGACATTCTGGGTTGTTGTAAAATGTTGGTCAAATATGGGCAAACCATACCAATGGAAGGGTTTAAAAAGGTGTCATTTAAATTAAATTGAAATTTTTTTATTTAATTGAATTGGGTTAATCCACAGTATTTTTCGAGTAAGTAATTAATTACTGATGACTAATTACATCATTAAAAACGTATGATGTGTTTCTAATTATGTCTCATTCATTCATTCATTCATTCATTTTCTTGTCGGCTTAGTCCCTTTATTAATCTGGGGTCAACACAGCGGATGAACTGCCAACTTATACAGCATATGTTTTACGCAGCGGATGCCCTTCCAGCCGCAACCCATCACCAGGAAACTAATTATGTCTAAAAAGTAATTTAATTATTCAATAAGGACTTTAATCACTTTAATTAAAATCTTTTAATTATTTTGTTTTGAGTCAAAGCATTGCCTTTTACACTCTAAACAAATGCCAAGTTTTTTAACCCAATGCTGGGTCAAATTTGGGTAAACCCAACCCCTGGGTTAAAACATTTTAATGTAAAATGAATTGAAAAACATGTATTCAATAGTATCTTATAACAAAAAATAAATCATTGTTGTAATAATTGTTCACACACAAACAAATAACCTTAACAGGTTTCCTTTCAGAAATTAAGTACACATGTAATGTAAAATATAGCACATAGTAAAATGTAATTACATAGTTAAAACCACTTAATATAAAGTGAAACCTTTTATTCTGTTATTGTAGACAAACAAAAATAAATAAGACTCTCTCCAGAAGAAATATAGGTAACGCTTTATTTAATCTACAATTGACACTATTAATAAACTATTAATTAAG